CGTGGTGTTGCCAGCGCAAACAAGAAAGCTACTGTTTCTCGGAATAGGTACGCACAACCGTTGAACCCACTAGTGATGGGCGGAGGAGGCTTAGCCGCTAAGCTGACTTGAGTGGGATTTATTGGTTCTTTCATTTAGATACGCCATTGACCCGCGATGAAGATTAAATATTACTGTAGGTATACTTTTCCGTTTTAAACGACTAGAGTTTAAAAGATTAACTTCTAAAATAAAAGATAAAAAATTTAAAGTCCATGTGTGTCAATCTCGATACGCTAAACGTTAATCCATTTTTTGTAGTGACATACTGGCTATAAATTAGGATTATTCTGACAAAACTCACAAATAGTGTTGTCGAACTAAGCATAGTTATTTATCCGGGAACCTCACACTGAGTTCAGAACTTCAGAACATACGCAGCCTGCACATTCCTTTGTTTCCTGTCCTGCAAAACCCGTCTCGTATAATCAGAACGGGCACTTTAGCTCAGCTTGACGTTTTAATGAAGTACTCGACTAAAAATAAAAAGCACGTCCCATCATTACCCACCATATCAGTACTTGAGAGTGGAAATCACGCGCGCCACGCACCAGCAATAAAAAAAATATAATTATGTATGGTAAAGGACCATACTTATACGGCCTTAACTGGTGTTTGTTGGCGGAAATTAGTTACAGCACGATTTTAAAACGGACTATTACGTGGCTATTGTTATTGATTAAAAATACCGGATTCTAATTTACGTTACAAAAACGAAACAATTACCTAACGTAAATTGTTGGAAATAACAAAAGACACGGTAACTAAATAGTTCTTGGCATCCAAACATTTGGACTATTTAAAATGCTAGAGTACCTTGAAGAAGTAATCAGGATACTATATGCCCTGCCAAGTGTTTAGACTTAGAAGATATGAAGAAGAATTAAGTGTCTGATATCAATACCTTCTCCCTCGTCCTTATACTTTTTGACAAGAATAAAAAAAATGATTTTCGTGCAGATCGACACAGCAGCAGCCTGGCTCGTTCATCGACCACATTTGCAGCCATTACATGAGTAAATATAAAAAACGAAACGTAAATAATTGTGGTCTTTGTTTTAGCTTATATCATGGTCATTAGCAAACATTTCTGCCAATACCATCATCAGATAACTACGCAGATTTTCTGGTTTTACGCAATGCTGGCATTTGACCTCTGCAACCCATAAACAAACCTGGTTTTAGCACCACGATCTTATCAACATAACAAGTGGATGATGCTTCTATCGTGCTCATCTATACACAATTTATTTTCTAGGTACTTAATTATTAGCATTGGATTGTACGTTCACCGTTATTAGGTTTAAAATTCAACATCTTGAATTCGTAGAACGTACTCAACAAAGATGCCAGAATCGTATGGTATATGGTTCTTTTATAACCTATCTAATAATGACTAAATATGGCTGTTAAAGTGAGCAACTAACAATACATTGAAGGTCACAGATGTGACTGCTAAGAATTTTTAAAGGATTGAAAAATATGCATGAAATTAGTCTCTAAAAGAGTTCATTTTTAAACAATGCTGCTATTGCTTTAGAGCTGAATTCCTTATGGAGTTTCTGTCACATGTGGTCAGTCTTCTCTTACAAAATAATAAATCACTCAATATTGAGTCATGGTATAACAATGTGCACGTGTGTTTAGAGAGTTTCCTTGGAAGTATGTACAAAACAGGCGTCATTATGCCTTGTAATTACCTAACGGTGACAAACCAAACAAAGGTTCAACTTTTACTATAATATTTACTACGCAAGTTCGCACACCTCCTCGCAACACCATGTTTTCTCATGACACGCATGTAACTAGTGCCATTACGTACCGTTAGGGAACTATGACATTTCGTGTGTAAACTATTATTCTAGACTTGTCACTAATGAAGTCAAAAGACTAAAATAAACCTGTCTTCAAAGAGCAATAAATAAATCACCTGATAAACTATATTTGCCACCAATTTGCGAAAACAAATTGGTTTTTTAAAGCACTGTGGTGCCTAACAAATAGACTACCATTTATATGTTGTCGCAGAATCTACAAGAAAGGATAAACAAAGCTTCACTCTCGTTCCATCTGATACTTAAAATTCAGTCTCTAGCTCGCTACAGGTTAAACTGGTTGTAGGCCCAACAAAAATGTTGGGTGGGATTTCAGATAGGACTAGCGAACGAAATGATCTTACGTTATTCTTATGAGCAACAAACATGGGCATTCAAACGACGACCACCCGACATTATCCCTGAATTCTAATCTCTTGTTATCAGCGTGTCTCACTGGCCTCTGACATCCTCACTCGCTACAAGAGTAAATACTAATTTTTTACTAACTTATACTAACTTTAATTAGAAATACCCACACTTTTAAAGCTAACGGTTGATGGATTCCTTCCTACACGAAGCCAGACAATGGTTTTGTATGAAGTTAATTGATTATAATCAAAGCATGGTATCAATATGTTTGGCCTACATTGTATTGCAACACCACCGTAGTGAATCAGCGGCGTCATCGAGCAGACAATTTGCATTTATTGGTGCTATCTCTTTAAATTAATGATTATGTTTCAGGCACACTCCGTCTGCGTGTTCAGATGTTAAAACATGTCAAGGTGAGATTGGAGACCTGGCTTTTTATGTACAATATTTATTATTTGGAGCTTCCATACGTGTGATGACTATTCAAGTTAAAGAGTCTGCAAGGATTCTGATGTCTATCTGTCTCGGATGATGTTAAGTAATCTTTTAGTATACCACGCTATTGTGGTTTAGACTTAGGCCAGTAAATATCGGGATTGAAACAGAACTGAACCCACACGCTCCATGACGAATGACTTACAATTCCCGTGGGTTTAACACTTGAAACTTTCGCAAATTGTTTAAGGTCCTTCTAAGAGTACACTTTGAATATCTGGTAGGTTCAGCTGATCATCTGTCAAGCTAAGATGAACCGAGACATGGCACATTGGCAGGTTTTCGCTTCTTACACGAAGGTAGTTTTTTCTTAATTTTAATCAACATGATGCAACTATCTAATAATGTGATCCCAAAGAGACACGCTGAGGTGCATAACGAGGTACATTTCGCGCTAAAACTTTTTAATTTGTTATCAAGTTTAACTCTCGGATATTCTAGGTATCAAGCTAGGGGTTTTTCCGTCTAACAGAGGTAGGCACGTAGCCCGAGATCGCAAAAAACATTTCGTAGAAGTTAGTTAGTTAAAGCAACTAAAGATTAGGAAGTTTGGTTCACCAAGTTTAGTTGAGTGTCAAGGATATTTTTTATTGAAATGAGTACATTCTCTTGGAGCTAGGAGATTGACCATAGACCACACTGGCGGAGCCACAGGCCTACGAATACCTAGGTAGGTTTTTGTATACTTTATATATTTAGGTCCCGAAACATATCTAACCTTTTTTCACCTTTCGCTTTAGTGTTTTAACAGGAAATTGAATCGATAAATAAGTTTTTTTCGCAGAACATGTATCAAAGTTGTCTATTGACCCAGAACTTGACAGGCCGCTAAAATATTGCCTTGGGTAATCTTTTAGGCTAAATTTATGATTAAAACGGTAAATTATAGCGAACAGGTACTTCTGTGGGTGTGGTTTTAATGGCCGTTAAGTAAATTAAAACAATTTGGTACCTACTTACATAACATTAACTTAGCTGCTGTTGTTTCGAGTAGAAGATGGCAAAGGTAAACAAACACAATTTTTGTTTTTTGTACTGGATGTCCATCATGTTACCAAATAGATCGGTAGTTCTAGTTATCTACGAGACTGGGTCGAAATTAGATATTCGGAATGAAAAAATAATATAGATACTAATCGAAAATTTAATCTTATTGTACTCCAGTATCTACTTTTGCGCGCCATTTGCAACTTCGATAACTCATCTCATGAATTTTATTTTCATCCTAAGAGGTAAATTGAAATGTTTGTTTACCAACATTAGAGCTACGTTTTTGACAATTTTGAGTACGAGTCTCATTAGGTAAAATGAAACCGAAAAATTACGAATTTCGACGAATCGAAAATCTCGGGACCCCGTGTTCGGGAATCGCGCTTACGGTTACTGAACCAACGGTACAGTTGGACATGTAACAGTCCACCTCAGTTTAGTCCCTAATTAGAGTACTTAGGTACATTTTAGTACCTACAGATAAAAATTATAGACTAAGGTAACAGGTTTATATTGCTTAATCAATATTTTTATCTTGCAGGCCAAAGTAAGGTTTTAAGCATTAATGTAAATCATGTTTTAATGTTCCTTCAATAAAAGTCATCTTTTACGACTACCCGATTGGTTACTATGGCAACCAAGTCCAAGTAAGTAGGTACCTATCTAAGTAGGTAACGTAAGCATTATTACCAAGTAAGTATTATTACCACGTAGGTAGTCTGGCAAATACCTAATAAGTTTTATAAGCAGGTAACTTATTACAGTAAACAACTTGCTATGAAAATTATTAATTTTATAACTAACTGTAGGTAAGTACGTATTTATTAATTATTTAATTGAAAAGTTGCACAGGGACTTCAATTGGTAGCCATTTATACCGTTAAATAAATATGCAGTCAAGTTACTTAAACAGGTGTGTTTTACAGCTAAATACTAAATTCACCTGCCGCTTTATTTACGCAAGTTGGCTAGAACTTAGCCAGAATTATTATCACAATGCAGGTTAGGCAATCATAATGACATTCCATAAGTTTGCGTAGGCTAAACATAGTATTACGTTATATTACATAGCTTTTAGCACGTAGGCATAATACCCGCCAATTTTGTGAACGCCTCCGCTCTGTAGCCAGATCCGATTAAAAAAAAACTTAAAGAAAAAATGTTCAACTTTCTTCGCAATGCAGAGGCATAAATAAAAAAACGCATCACGGCATCACCAAAATTGACTCGGCGGCCGAAAAAATAAAGTTGTAAGTTACGAAACAAGAAGTAAAACTTTTTTCTTACCATAAATGTTATGTAGGTGAAGTCGTAACAATATTAACGTTCCAATACAGGCGGACGAAACCCATTCTCGTCCTGGATTTCCAGTTTAGAACATCTTTTAATTCAACACTTTTTGTTCCGAACACAGTGTAACTTGTCCCGATCACTGTTTATTATTATTTGTTGACACAAAACGAGGTTATTGCCGTTTGCTTTAACATCTGGACCTCACTCGACAGATTTCACTAGACGTAATATCTAATAAGTAACTTTTACATACAACCAAACTTTGTAAGAGAAACAATAATACGATCACACTTATTAACAAAAGTCATAACACTTGCAGGTAAACGGTGGGCTTAGGAGCAAGTAGTCGACTGTATACGAAAAAAAACAAAACTTTACAACATCGCACACAACTTCCACGTTCAACGCGGCGTCACAGTGTGAGTGAATGGTGATACAAACAATATGCGACGCACGCGTGCGCGCGCTCTGTCTCAGGTGAGTATTGCCAGGACGTAAATAATAAACTCCCTAGATTCACATTTGCTTAGATACTGCGGTTATAATATTTTTATATTTTTGTCGATGGAACTGTTGTGTGATTCTGGTGGTTCTGGTGGTTCTCTATCAATAAAACATAGGCCATCTATTTTTTTTTACAATTATGAATGTCACTATTTATTGATGGCGTCTTTACTTTTTTTTTGCAATTATTGTAATTTTTGTCACTGGGCCGCATTTTTTACAGAAAAAAAAATAGCTCATATTTGTCTACTTTTTCTCTTTAAAAACTCTTATGGTCAATTTTAAAACATGTTATTAAATCTTTATTTCTGTGGCATATTAAATGGAAACCTAATATTTTCTTTTCTACCACTTTCCATAAACTGAAGCAGATTTGTATTTCCTGGCAACACTAACGCGGCGTACGAAGCAGCACTCACACAACCAACAGCGCACTCTGATTGGAGAAGAAGTTGTCGAGCGCTTGCCTCCGCCCGCGCACCAACGTCCTTGCAGGCACGGGCCACCGACCGCAACTGCCTGCTCTAAACTATAGTTACTTGAAACTTAACAGGTAGATACAACCTCCAGTTATACTTAGGTATATTTTATTATTCCTTGTTCCTCTGAGCTTCGCCAACATAAGCTTAGTACTATAGGTAGGTACGCCAGTATGTGCTACTTCACAAGTAGGTAAACAAGAGGAGTTGTAGTTTGTAGCTAATAAATTATTTTATACCTACAAACGAGCATGTTCATGAATATTTATTACATACAAGAACAAGACATTTATCATAAAAGTTCTGGGAAATGAGCTTTTGTGTGATGCGGCGAATAACCTGTCGTCTTATCGCGTTTGTAAGTACCTACCTACCTTACGGACGGTGGTAGTTAACCTAAGTTCCTATTCTACCTATTAATAAAGTGCATGCCAACTATCTCTTCAGAAAACTATAGTGTGCCCATACACAGTTACCTAATACCTGGTCATAGGTTTCGAATTTTGCTACGTACCTGAGTACCTACACCTATAGCCAAGGACTAGCAACCACGAGGGCAGCAATTCGGTACTCGCCAACTAGTCAAATTCAATACTTTTTTCGAACTGTCAGAAACGACAGTATTCTATGAATTTTGTACGAGATCGTGTATTGTGACGTCACGTTTTTTTAGCGTCAAACAGCATATTTATAACGTAAAAAAATACTGAAAAATTAAGTTGGTCATCAAATCAAGTAATGAAAGTGTGATTATTTTTTAATATTTTATTTTATTGAACAGTGGAAATAATTTAATTTTGACTAAGGAAAGTATCCAATTGTAAAATTTAGAAGAGGTCTCTAAACTATCGAGGTACCCAACTGCGATCGCCAAGGCCAAGTCGGTACCTACATTAGTACCCATGACTACCTCCCATCACACATTTATGTTAAAAAACAACTTAAAATTGTATAAAAGGTAATATTAACAACACACCTGTCTGTTTTTCTGTTTCCTGAAGGGTATACCTGGATGTCTTCAAGGCCCGAGTGAACAGGTTGCTTATGGGCCGACGTGCTCCATCGTAGACCACATCATCGCCTATCACCAGGCGAGATAGTGTTCAAACATTGGCCCATCAAATATACATAATAATATATATAAAAAAACACCAGTGTTGGTACACACGGCCACACATCAATCTATACAAAACCAGTTTATCCTGGTGTCGCGTCGCATCATCTTTTCGCACTTTTAACGTTCAGTTTATACTGGTTATGTAAAGCTCGATATGTAGCCGTGTGTACTACCAACTTGTGTGGGAGAGCCATTCCTCGGCACGAATGGGTCGGCTTGACTTGAGTAATACCACGGCCTCACAGAAAACCGACGTGAAACAACGCTTGCGTTGTGTTTCGTCGTGTAAGTGAGGTTACCGGAGGCCCAATTAACCCCCTTCCCCTATCTCCCCAACAATCCTCAAATTACTAATCCACAAAAGGCCGGTAACGGACTTGTAACGCCTGTGGTGTTCCAAGTGTCCTTGGGCGACGCCGATTGCTTACCATCAGGTGATCCGTCTGCTCGTATACCGGCTTATACCATAAAAAAACTTGCTGATTGTATGTTTCGCTCTTAAACTGTCAAACACCAAGCGGTCACCGGTGACCGCAACCTATTGTTCTATAATTGTGTCTACAAAACCGGTACTCGACGAGTTAATTAGACAAGTAAGTAGATATGAAAATGATATTTTCTTCAAGCATTTTGTATGTGGGTGGTAAGCAATTGGCAGTCATACGGGGACGCTTATAAACATATTTAGGGTCTTACAACCAACCATAAATACAATAAATATGTAAATTTAAACTACATTGAGCTCAAGTATACGGACCTTATTTGATATGTTAATAATATCAACATAATATACATATATATTGTAGGTATGTGAGTACATACGTAGGTCATAGTAACCTTAAACGAGTAATATAAGCATATAAGAAATAAATATGTTTTACATTATCGTAAAATCAAATGAGATGTCACCAAGTAAGTACATATAAGTTAAAGTAAAGATCGAAATTAAAATAAAATTCTATTTGATATAAAATATTTATTAATATCACCAATGTTCACAACTTCCTATTAGATTACCAACTGAAATTCTATCACACCATCTGTAATATTTATATTATATAAAGTGCGTTGATATAATCATCTAAATTTTAGCTAGTAACTCAGAAACAACTGAACGCAGTTTGATAAAATTAGCATAGTAAGATAGACCATGACCTGCATTAACTCTAGTGACAACTTTTATAACAGTATCACGAGCACCGACTGCGACACAATCAAGTCGTTCATTATGATCAATAGGTAGGTAATTAAGAAACCAAAGAGGGGATTAAGAAGAAAGAAGATTTATTCTTGATTTACAAATTAAGTTCACTAGATTTGGTAATTTCAAAGTCAAAGTCAAAATCATTTATTTCAATTAGGCGAGAATGGCACTTTTGAACGTCAACAAAAAAAAATTGAAAGTGAAGCTATTTGCTCATTCCAAGGCGTAGATTCCTATGGAGAAGAACGAGCAAGAAACTCCATAGGTTACTCTTTTTCAATCAGGTTCACATTACAATTTACTAGTTACATAGTTTTGCTGTTTGGATTGTGCGAGAACAATGTAACACTAAAATCCAGTCAAAGTGATCAATTACGAGAGTTGTATGGGTACGAATTCACTTGTGTGTATCAAAATTATTGTCGGCTTCAGATGTTTCGTCTAAATCAGGTTTGAGTACGGTACTTTTTTTTTAATATGATAAGTAACTTTTATTATAATTAAGCTATAAATATAGGTTATATACAACTTAAAATTAACTAAAACAGTGAATAAAAAAGATAAAAAAATTCCATCAGTTAGGCGTCATAGTACGGTACTTATTAGTTATTTGGTAAATTAATATCAAAACTCTCGTAATGTTGGCCAATAGTTCAATCTACTTAGGTTGTTAGTTGGCTTTCATTCTTATGGAAGTCTTTCTTTTAGAAGTTTCCAAAAGCTACATATACCTACTCGAAAACGAAAAGCCATTTACCCATAAAGGGTTGCACAAAACGCCAATCAGTTACTTATATTGAGTAGTCATTTTATTTGTTACGTTTTGAACTCACCATATCTTATCATCGTAATTCGGAAGTCTCTTGTCAATACTTCTTGATAAAACCTTCCGAAGTTCGCATCTTTCAAGTTTATCTCGTTTACACGCTTAAATACAACAACATACTCTTTTTAAAATAAACAAATAAGTCAAAAATTAAAGTCAAAGCATGGAGCAGCAAGCTTTTGAAACGTCAACAAATACAAAATAAATATAGTCTGTCAGTCTGTCCTTCGGTGAAGCTAGGTGCTCATTCCAATCTGTAGATTCGAATGAGAAGAACGAGCGAGAAACTCCATTCGTTACTCTTTTAAAAAACAATATGTAAGTATATATATAAAAGTTCTTAGTCATCATTATCTTAAGAAATTAAAACCATTTTTTATCTGTGTTTAAGAGTAAACAAAAATGGCCGACTATTGAAAATATAAACAATGTTTTGCGTAGGACTACGAACCAATGTTTGCAAAACTTGCATCGCTTGTGTCTTGCATGTGTGCGGCGATAGCACTATTATTTATGTATTGTATTGTAACTACATATACCTAAGTACAATCTTGTGAACACATATGAATATTGTCAGACTGCCTGGAGCGCAATACTTTGCCTTGGCATCAACGTTAAATTCATTAACTTAATGTGTAATTGAAAATAAATGGGCGGAATATATTTCTGTCTAATAGACAGTGAGCCGAATTTGGAAGGTGATTATAAAAACCTTATTTTTTTTATTAAATAAAACTATTCACGTCTTAATAATAGAACAGCTTTAGATAGTTGAATATGTATTTAAAACAATGTATGTGATAGATAAGGTGTAAAATCGTTCTTAAAAATACTAAATACAGTCGTAGCAAACAAATTAAAGACTCTAATTTTGTATCCATTATCGAGTTAATCTGGCACCCTTCATAAGACTCACGTCACGTCAACTAGCGTCGAAAGACAAGGGTTTAGGAAGTCCCATTATCCTACCAATTGTCTTATCTGTCCCTTCCTTTCCCTTGGATTTTTTGTACAGTAAATATTTACTTAAAATAAGTAGAACTTATTGCTCTTTATGACTTGGAATATTTTGGTACCCTCCATTATCACCATTGATAAATGTCTCGGCGTACAAGGTCGACCTATAACATCCATTAACAAAACTAACAAGACTATTCATATTGGCAAAAACCAGCAAACGCACTTTAAAATCTAATGTATTCGATATTTGGTGTTCAAATTTCACAAGATCGAATAAATCAGTGACGTGGGCTTTAACAGATGTGATTTTGTCCATCTTTGTTATAATCCCCACTATTTTGGAAGACCTACACAAACTACTTACACCTA